CCACAGCTGGAGGAGCAGCAACTGGGCTTGCAGCAGCTGGACTGACAACAGCAAGGTTTACAGCAGCTGGACTGACAGCAGCAGGGCTTACAGCAGCTGGACTGACAGCAACAAGGCTTACAGCAGCTGGACTGGCAGCAGCAAGGTTTGCAGCAGCTGGACTGGCAGCAACTGGGTTTGCAGCAGTTGGACTGACAGCAGCCACTTGAACTACAGACCCCCTTGCAGCCCCCAGAGGATCCGCAGCTGGAGCCGGAGCAGGCTGGCACACAGCAGCACACGGGCTTGCAGCAGCACACGGGCACACAGCAGCTCGAGCCGCAGCCCCCACAGCTGGAGCCGCAGCCCCCACAGCCTCCAGAACAGCCACAGCAGCTCATGATTCTGGTGAGTTGAGGATGAGTTTGGTCAGAGGAGCAAGTGGAGAGGTTGGAATGTTGAAGCCACTGTCCCAGGCGCTTTTATATCCCATCCACGCTCTCATTCTGGGTGTGTGATCACTTCCCTGTTATTGTGGATGCCCCAGCCTGTGTTTGTGTACTTAAGTCTTTCACCTCGGTTTCTCCTTTTTCCTCCCAGACAGTGTGTGTTAGTCCCCTCTGTTCCAGGGAAGAGGTTTGTTGTTTGTGTTGTTGTTGTTGTGGACCATTAGTCAGAACCAACCCATAGCTGACCTACTGGCCAATTTTCAGAGGCAATAACTGCAGGGGAAGATACTGCCCATCCTTCTCACGCAGAGCAGCTGGTGGATTTGAACAGTGTGCCTTCGGGATTGCCGCGCAGCTTCTTGCCACAGGGCCACCAGAGCTCTTTGTGTTATTAGTTTTATTGGTGATTGGGTTTTATTATTTTTAAAGTATTAGTACATTTTCTTTTTCGAGTTTTAGATTAGAGGGGAGATTACGAAGAGAGTGGAGAGTGTTTCCACACCATTCCTCTCTCCTGCTGTTTTTCCATCACTGACATCTCACGCTGCTGTGACGCATTCTTTACAACCAGTGAATGATTATTGGTCCATTGCAATGGAAGCTGTCCTCTCTGGTGGTCCAGAGGTTCAGGGTTTGTCTGCTGACTTCTGGTCACAGTTGGCAAACATCACTTGGTCCGGGGAAGGAGGAAGTCTACATCCCTACAGAGCGCAGTCCTGCGGGTCATTCGTTCCACTACAGGGTCACTGGGAGTTGCAATCTATTCAAATGAGTGTGTTATGAAGGAAATATTTAAATCCTAAGAACTCTTAAACTTTTTTTTAAAAAAAATGATTCCTTGGAAATGGGCAAAATTCTGGGAAAGATCAAGGGTCATTGAAAGAGAGCAAGATCCCTCTTTGAAGGAGACCTGCCGATGCGTTTTCATGCCTGGGCCCAGCACTAGATGCATCTGTGGATGGACACCACGGTAAAACGTTCTCTTACACAATTATGTAAGAGAACTTAGGTATGTTTGAGGAGGAATCAGACCCTGAAAAGGACATCATGCGGGGAAAGGGAAGGTAGAGAAGGGGAGGAGGACCCCCAGAGACGTGGCCTGGCACCGTGCCCAGAGCAGTGAGCTCAAGCTTGGCCCAGGTGTGCGGGTGGTGCAGGGTAGAGCAGGATTCGCACCTGTTGCTCACAGGGTCACCTGAGTCACCGTCTGCTCCATGGCATTTAAGAGGAACTCTTACGCTCTTTGACCAAGAAACCACCAACATGGGCCACGCTCGCACCAAAACCGTGAAGAAGGCAGCCCGCGTCATCATGGAGAAATACTACACGCGCCTGGGCAATGACTTCCACATGAACAAGCACGTGTGCGAGGAGATCGCCCTTATTCCCAGCGAGAACTCTGGAACAAGGTAGCAGGCTGTGTCACACAGCGGATGAAGCAGATTCACAGAGGGCCTGGGAGAGGCATCTCCATGAAGCTGCAGGAGGAGGAGAGAGAAAGGAGAGATCATTATGTACCAGAGGTTTCAGCCCTGGGTCAGGAGATCATTGAAGTAGATCCTGATAGTAAGGAAATGCTGAAACTCTTGGACTTTGGCAGTCTGTCCAACCTGCAGGTCACTCAGCCCACAGTTGGGATGAATTTCAAAACACCATGTGGAGTTGTTTGAGTCTGTCTGCTGTGCTGTTACATTTTCAATAAACTTGGGCACACCAGCCTTGCCTTTGTAAAAAAAAAAAAGGAATTCCTACCATCCGATAGTTTGTAAGGAAACAAAAGACTCAATTAAAAAGACTGAGTAAGAGATTGACTGGAAGAGAAAACGCATCCAAGGAGAGTGTCATTGCCGTCAAGTCAGCACCGACTGGCCCCGGGCCTTGGTGGGCTTTCGGGGGCTGTAAACGACAGGAGCGTACTTCTCACAGAGCAGCTGGTGGATTTGAGCCGCCTGAGATGCAATGCCTTCGGGTCCAGACCACAACTCCTTAAGGACTAGGTCACTCGAGCTCCGGAAAGAGGACATGTGGTCTGGCCTGCACGGGCCACGTGAGGCGGCTGCTGGGTTGGAGAAACGGTGGCTTCGGGCCATCGACAATGTCTTGATGACCTTCCACAGTGAGGTGGGGCAAATAGAGAAAAAAGATTCCGTTAAACATCCAAAAATCAAACCAAAAGGTTGACCTGTCCTGGTTCCTCTGACCTCAACCTGACCTCCTTTGGGGTTCTTCACATATAGATCCTGAAGTGACAGGCTGGGAAATTGTCCATCTTGGTGCATCCTGACATAAATCTAGATGATGCTGTCTGAGTACAAAAGGCCTTGGAAGCTGTGGACAGAGCTTGCATGTTGCTACTGGATCAGGAACAGAAGCAGAGGGCCCTGGATGTCATTCAGGCCAGAAAAGAATACGTGGGTCATACTGTCAAAGAGTGAAAAGAGCAATTCAGGAAGGCAGGGTGGCCTGCAAATGTGGAAGCAGATGACCCTGAGCTGTTCAAGTGTGCAGACAGGCCGTGACACTTTTTGGTGAACTGAAAATTAAAAGAACAAGGAGCCAAACAGATGCCTGAAAGGAAGTAACAGAGGAAGAAGAAGCAGCCAAACGAGAGAGGGAGTGGTGGAAAAACCGAGGAGAGTCGAGATGGCCACGCGGATGGCTGGCGACATTGCCAAGCAAACATGGAAGACAAGAGAGAGACAGAAAAGCAAACTTCTCCGAGACCCCAAAAGTAAAAACGGAGCAGCATACGACACCCCGTGGGGTCCACCTGGACTTGCCTCCAGCTGCCTGTCCCCACCAGCTTTGAAGGACTCATTCTGTCCTCCCATCTCTACCCCGACACGGAGTAGTATTTGCTTTTCGTCCATTTTATTTCCATAGTTTAATAACAAATCAGAGTAACTTTTTGTACATTGACATGAGGGGCATGGTTTTTAAAAAAGAGCAGCACGCCCCTCCCTGCCCTATGAGTCACCAGAATGGGAAGTGGCCACCTGGGTCGACCGCTGTCTCCAGCCTGGAACTTAATGCACTCCACAGAACCATCACGGGTAGGAACTTCGTGTACAGTTTATGGAAATCATCCAATTAAACACATTGCTTCAGGAAAGAAGACGGGGGTATGGAAATAAGGGTGCCGAGAGGCGTCACAGCCTATGTGCTTGCTGCTTTCGTGTGTGGTGAAGTCAGAAGCGACTCCAATCTGACCTTCTAGTGGGTTCCAGAAGCAAGTAGATGAGACTGTCGTCCTCCCACGGAGCAGCTGTGGATTCGAACTACCTGACTTGGGGCTGGCAGCACACTACCCACGAAACAACAAATTAAAAGGAAAAAGTGCAATATTATTGCACCACTAAGGATGACTAAACTCCCAAGCCGCGGTGACAGCAGGGCTGAGGAGGAGGAGAAGCAGCATGAGTCTCTTTCCTGCCTGGAGGGAGCGTGGGGGACCATGACCGCTCCGAGCACAGCAGTGCAGTCTCTGACGAAGCACGGCGGGCCTCGCCTTCTGACCCGGCAATCCTGCCGCGAGGGTTTACCTGAGTGAGGTGGGCATGCAGTGTTAGCATCAGCTCCCCTCACTCTAGACAGCAGCAAGAGGTCCTGCAGTAAAGTCAGTGGATGAACAAACAGTGGTTGGTCGTGCAGGATAATGTTCAGTGATGAAAAGAGCCCTCAAGCCAGAACTGATAGGCAAGAGCCTTCAACAGGTATTGCAAAATGAAAGGAACGTCTGGAAACTCTAGAGACAGCATGATTCTGAGTACAAGGTCTTCTTTTAAAAAATGGTGGTGGTGGGGGAAATTTCTTTTTTCCAATTTTTTTAAATTGTGAGTTTAACAAACATTTACAGAAAAGTTGGTTTTTCATTCACTCATTGGAAGTCAAAACAATGAAGACAGTAATAAGATCAGGATTTTGGGGAGAGGAAGAGGTGAAGAAGTGGAACAAATGGAATTGAGGGGAGAACGGAACTATTTTTATGATGTTCTAATAATGAGCAAAGAAGAGTGAATGCCTTCGAATTGTGGTGCTGGAGAAAAGTATTGAACATACCATGGAACATATACCAAGACAACAAACAGATCTGTCCTAGAGATGGTGAAACCAAGCTGCTCCCTGGAGGCAAGGATTTGGAAGCTCTGTCTCACATATTTTGGGTGTCTTGCCAGGAGGGACCAGTCCTTAGAGAAGGACATCATGCTTGGAAGAATGGAGGGACAGTGCAGGAGAGAGAAACCACAGATGAGATACTCTGACACAGTAACTGGGTTTGGCAGTAGGGGTATCAGAGAGAGTGAGGCTGGCACAGATTAGGACAGAGTGCAGAGCTGTTGTGCATAGGGTCACTCTAAGTCACAGGCAGCTTGATGACAGATGACAACAAGAGAAGACATGTGAAATATACCCTTCATCAAAACCCTTTGAAGTGTTCAGTCGGAGTAAATATGCCCTTAAGCAAATCGTGGCTGTTTACTTAATAACAATGTAACCCACCACAACAAGATAAAGGTAAATAATCCAATAGAAAAATGGGCTCAGGATATGAACAGACACGTCCCCAAAGAAGACATTCAGATGGCTAACAAGAACATGAAGAAATGTTCAAAATCCCTAGCTCTAAGAGAGGTGCAAAGTAAAACAGCTATGAGATATCCTCTCACCCCAGTCAGAATAGCAAAATTTAACAGAGCAGCAAACAACAAATGCTGGTGAGGTTGTGGAGAAACTGGAACCCTTATTCACTGTTGGTGGGAGTATAAAATAGTACAACCACTGTGGAAGGTCGTGTGGCGCTTTCTCAAAAA